TTCAAATAGCTATATAGCATGATTAAAATAATTATTATAATAACAATAATTATGTGTCAATAATAAAATTATTCAAAATCACTTTGAGCATCAAAATAATAATAATAATAATAATAATAATAATAATTGATTAAATTTATTGATTTATTAAAATTTCACATTCACACAAAATGACAAAAAAGTCCTCCGGTTAATTTTAAGAGTCACACAGAAACTCTGACTCAATCCTGTACTTGTTCACAGGCTGTAAGGACTGGGTGGGTGATATGAGGGCCTGAGTTTTAGAAGACGTTGACTGATACTCCCACACCATAATGCAGCCAGAAACCTCATCGGAATACTCTATACTACATAGAACCTGGCAAAAGAAACAACTATAGTCTGTGGGTTTTTGTAAAAAATTATTTCAGCTAACAAGTTCATTAGATTATTCATAGGCTAGGGGATCAATTGGAGAGGCGTGGTCACTACTCTATTAATTAATCACACTATAACATTGCTATAAAATGGAAAGCTAATGTGATTGAAAGGTTTCATCAAAAGTACTATCAGAGAATTTGAGCTAGTTCTAATTACATAAAAGATGTGTGTTTAAAAATGCGAAAATAGCCACAGGCTACATGTACGTATATTAGATAGTTGATTGGTTTTAATATTGGTAATGCAGAAAAATTTCATACTACAAATTTTTGATAAAGACTAAGTTGCACTAACCTTTAAAGACGAGGGAAAAGGTGTGATCCCCTTCACACGTCCGTCCCCGCAATACTGGAAACCTTTAATGGCCGTCTCTTGCTCCTGGTTCTCAATAGCAGACGCATCAAGAAGGAACAAGTACCCACTCCTGGTACCCAGCCACACTGCATGACCTCTCACTACTAGAGCAGTAATCTCATTAAACTCGCCTTTCAGGATATTCCTGTATTAAAAACAAGTACAATAATTTAATGAATATATACTATATACAGTGTAGTTATTATTTTTAAAATCAAAGTGGAGAAACAATAAAAATGCAATGAAATAAGTTATGAGAAAAAATTGTTGGGTTATTGTCATCATTATTATTTTATTTATTTTTATTTAATCATTTATTATTATTATTATTATTATTATTATTATTATTATTATTAATTACCGGACATTAAACGAGGCTTTCAATTCCCCAGTTTTAATATCCCATAGACGTAGCACTGCGCTCCTCCTAGCAACAGACCACACCCCCTGCCTGTTCAAACCAGAGTATATAATAACCTCACCCTTTACAGATGAGGCTGAGGCCCCTCCCCCTCCATTACTATAAGAACAAACATTACGACGCACGGACTTCATAGCAGGAAACTCAAAAACTTCAAAATTATCTCCACAGGCAGTCCAGAGGTGACTATTGGTACCGGCGTTAATACCAAGACAAGGTTTCCTGTTGAACGTGGTCACTACTCTCCGAGGACCTTGGAGAGGGTTCT